AATAATAATCTAAAAGGCATTTTATCGAAAAATGGATTCAGTTTGTCTATGTAATTAGTTGAAATCGTTTTTTTGTATTTAACTTATACAGAAGCATACATCTAACTTAACTAAAAACATTATCGCATAAGAAATTCAATTTATTTTCTTTCTTTCTTAGTTTCTTACAAATGCTGATAAATTTATCCAAAGACTATACAGATTTTGCTTTGCTTTGTATTTCTAATGTTTAATTATGCGGTGTGGTGCAGTATATGCTGAAAAGCTTAAAAGCTGCTGCTGAAGCTCAGGGTAAGCCAGAATGGGGAAGCACAGGCCCTACCGATGCTGGCAACTATAACAACTGGCCAGAAGACACACAATTTTTCCGCAAAGAAGGTGGAGGCTGGGATGGTCCATATGGTGAGTTTTTCCTCACATGGTACTCTCAGATGCTGCTGGACCATGGTGATAGGATTCTAACATCAGCCAAGTCAATCTTTGACAACACTGGAGTTAAGATCTCAGTGAAAATTGCTGGCATTCACTGGCACTACGGTTCAAGGTCTCATGCTCCAGAACTCACAGCAGGGTATTACAACACCCGTTTCCGTGATGGCTACCTCCCCATTGCTCAGATGTTGGCACGCCATGGTGCCATTTTCAACTTCACCTGTATCGAGATGCGCGATCACGAGCAGCCACAGAATGCCCTCTGTGCTCCTGAGAAGCTGGTGAAGCAAGTGGCTCTGGCAACACAGAAGGCTCAGGTGGCACTTGCTGGGGAAAATGCACTGCCACGCTATGATGAATACGCTCACGAACAGATCATAAGGGCATCAGAGTTGAATGTGGACGGTGAGTCTGGTGACAGAGAGATGTGTGCATTCACATACCTGAGGATGAACCCTCATCTGTTTGAAGCAGATAACTGGAGGAAGTTTGTGGCGTTTGTGAAGAAGATGAAAGAAGGGAAAAGAGCAAAGAAATGTTGGGAAGAGATGGAAAGGGAGGCAGAGCATTTTGTGCATATTACACAGCCTCTTGTGCAAGAGGCTGCAGTGCTCATGCACTGAGAATATTTCTTGGAACATCCTTGTGTTGTGTTGAAGATAGCGACTAGGAAACAGTCACAAAACCAGGCTGTGTGAAAGTTTTAGTGAACAAGCAGCCCGGCTTTGTGGCTATGAAGATATGAATTTTGTATTACATTGTTGTTTTCTATTCTATGCACCTAAAACTTCTATTTCTGTATCTAATATCAAAGGCTATTCCACTTGTACAAACTAGTTACTTATTTATGTACCATTGAATGTTTTTCTTTTTTTTAATTGTAAGCTTTGTAAATTTTATTTTACATTTATAAACCGGTTTTGTAAAAGTTTAAATTTTGATTTTGTACATTAGAATTTACTTTGGTATGAAATTTATTTTAGTAAGATTTATTGTTTTTCAAGTTTATTATTAATTACTTTATTAGGTTTAGAATTCATTTTTTAATATTTAGTTTAGTTTATTAGGTTTAAAATTTAAAGTTTATTTTAATAAAATTTATTATTTTTTGAATTTATTATGTTATTTATTTTTTATCAGGTTATTTATTATTATATTATTTTTGTTGGTATTCTTGACATTTTATTCCAATAAATAGGATGTATGAGGAAAAAAACTAATACATAATCTGCCATATAAATCCACTTCTAATGTCTTTCTCAATGAATTTCATCAAAAAATGAAAGACTTGCAGAAAATTTCAATGCCACAGATAACTGCTTACCAGTAACTTGTCCACTTGGGTACAAGACAAAACCATTTCAAGATTTTCTGCAGGAAGTTTGCTGAATCAACCTTTTAATTCCTTATTTTATTTGTGTTCATATTCAATACATCAATGGTTTGCGTGATCAGCTACACTATACAACACTATAATTAATTTTAAAAACAAAAATTGTCAATTTGTATAGATGTACAAAATGTTTTGAACACTAGTTCTTATGGGTGATCTAAAGTTTTGGCAAAGAAAAAACTTGATGATTCTCATGACTAACATGTAAAAAGATAAAACGTGTCCATTAGAAAACGGCTTTGACCATGATTGTGTGAAAATATGACTATTATCTTAAAATTAAAATACCAATGATTCTCCCTAAATCTTGTAAGTGTTGTTCACTAGTTGCTTATCTTTCAAGACTTTTCTTTCCTTTCATGATCAAAGTATATAAATTAAAATTTGACTAATATGTAAATTAATTTGTAACAATTTTCTTATATGAACTTCTCCAAAAATCAATTTCAATCTATAAAATATATATTTTCCTCTCTTATCATTTAATTTAAGGGGATTATGTATTTTACTTATTCAACTTACTGAACATTATATATTTTGACTTTGATTGGTATTTAATAAGAGCTAAATATTTCTAATTAATTAGTTCAAAACCCCTTTTAGAATTAATTTAATATTTATAAAAAAATATATACTATTATTGACTTAAACTCACCTCATTTCATATTATTTCTGAAGTTTATTTGTCTAGAGACTCATTTCTTAATCACCTTTCTTTCTTTCTTTTTTTCTAAGAGTTTTTGACTTCTTAAAGTTTCAAATGACTTGCTCAATACATTATGCAAACGAGTCCTTGAAAACTAATATGAATTCACATGTCTTAAAGCAATTTTATTAGTTTAAGTTTGTATAACATTTTTTTAAATAGCATAATTTTAAAAAAATCTATCTAAATAACCATGAGACAATAATATTTAGAGGATTTAAAGGGTGATTTAACTATAAATTTGTCTTCAAAATCATGTTAAAATAAAAATTAAATTGGATAAGTTCAACTCTTTAAAGATTACATGTGATGAAGATGATTTTAGGTGCCCTTTTCATGAGGGAATTATGATCTTCTACGCATGATGAATGTGTTTTAGAAGTTGGGACAACCTATGAATTCTTTTATTAAGATCCATCCTAACTTATAAAACAAGCATGCTCATGTTGGATATGAACACAAATTTGAAACATAGGAAACCCACAAGATGCATGTGTTGTTGTGTGTAAAGATTAATGAATTCAGTTCATCCACTTTACTTTATCCAAATCTTTTTTTTTTCATAAAAGAGGTTTATTTAGTGCTTTAGATTTTGCGTATTTGCTAGAAAATTTGTTTTGAAAAAAATGGTTGTGGATTAAAACGAATTTAATAACATTGAAAGAGTAAATTAAATTACAAATAGTTATTTATAAGTCCTTAATGCTGGTAATGAAAAGAAAAATAAGATGCTTCTAAGAACACTTATTTTAAAATTTGCAATTTCTTACATTAATTTTTTCACACATTTTTCTTTTTTTCTTTTTTTTTCAGTTAAACAACTTCAATTTTCATTTATTTCTCTTTTATTTTACTTCATTTCTCTTTCTTTCCCCTTCTTTATTTCTTTCTTCTCTACCAAATATAGGTATTATTTAAAAATTATCAGAACTACTATATATATTTATATAAGTTATATTTGAATTAAATTTTCTAGAAACATTTGTAAAAAAAGATTATGAAATCATTTTCCTATATTAAATTAGTTTATATAAAAATTAATTTTATAAATTATTTAATATTAACATATATTTTTAACTTATGTGTGAAAAAAATTGAAATAGAAAATCTTATAAAATAATGACTTAATTAAAATTTAATATTCCTTCGTCTTCTCCTTCTTACTTGTCTTATCTCCTCATGTTAAAATTGTGAGGTTTTTTAGTTTATTTAGACAAGTGAATTTTAATGTTTTAATTCAAAACATGTTCAATAATGAAATAATTTTACTCTCCTATAATTTTCATGTTATAGAATAATCAAGAAATTGTCAGGTTCAACACTAATGTAAATGATAGTGATTGTCCCTTATTATACACTACACTATCAATGAAAAAAATCATTTATTTTGTGTTAATTGCAATATCACTTTACATTAACAATAAATCTCACATTTTTTAACATAGAAGGACAATTAAGGAAGATAATGAAATAAAATAATAAAAATGTTACTAGCATAATGAAAGAATAACATTAAAGAATCAATTGAAAAATATAATTTTTTTTAATATTTATAAACTAAAAAAATTAATAGATATGATCAATTCAAAACAGTTAAATTTATAATAGATTTATAACTTAGTTAAACCTGTAATAATTTATCTAAACAAATCCAAGTAATTAAGTAATAATTAGAAGTATTTACTTATAATTCTTTTTTATATAAAACTAGAGTTAGTTATCTCTATGTTGACACTCTAGAGAAAATTTATCCTTTATCGTCGTATAAAACTTATTCCTACATTCATCTCTATTTTTTTTCGGTGTTTTCGAGAATGTTCTATCTGTTTTCAATATATTTACACTTCAAATGAATAATAAAAGTAAAAAGATTTAATATCTTTAAGTTTTTTTAATTTTGTTGAACATGATGATAATAACAATAACAACAGTTATAATAATAAATATTAATATTAATAAAATAAAAAGTATTTAAAAATAATATTTATGGAAAAAATAATATGATATCTGAATAAAAAATCCTAATAAAAGTAATAATGACAACAATAATTAATTAATAATATTATTAATCTTATTATACTTTAATACTTTAATATAATTAATAAAGATATTTTTTAAATAATTCAGATTGTGTATTTGGAATTAATTTTTAAATTCAAAATTATCTTTCAAATTGTATTGAAAAAGTATCTTCTTCGAAAACATCTTCCAGGATAAACCATCAGATGTATTAAAAATAAAAGAGGTGCAAGGTAATTTTACCTTTTTTATTATAATTTTTATGAGAAATTACTTAGGGTTTATAAATATTTTATGATGGTGCAGGGAGAAAAAAAACTAAGTCCATAAGTGATTGTAAGAATTGGACTAACGTTTCAAAGCCCAATTTTGTTTGCTCGAGTTGGGCCTATCCATGAAGTTCTTGTTTTCTTTCGAAGCCCAAAATCTGAAGATTTTCTTTTCGAAGCAACATCATGAGCATGCCAATAGAAACACTTAAGACCTAAGTAACACTTTTAAAATAAAATAACAACTTTAAATATAATCAAAAGCTGTAAGTAGGAAGAAGTTTCAATTTTAAATATTATTTCAATTATGTTTTAATTATGTACTAAAAGTTATTTGGAATTTTTTTTCAAAGAGATATAATGAATAGCTCATTTAAAGGTGCATTGAAAATAATTTTTTTTTTCTATATTGAATGTAAAAATCCTAAGGGATTAATATTATATTTTATTTTTTGAAAACCAATTATTGAGATAGTAGATTATGCTTCTTCTATCATATCCATATATAAGCCATTAAACGAGTAAATGACTACACTAATTTTAGAAAGAAAAAAAACTAAAAATAAAAAGGAGTATATATTTTTAATTAAAAAAAGTTAAGAGGAGAGAAGTTTTTCCATATCAAAGTCAAAAATAGCTAATTTACTTTCTAAACTTATACTTTACTATCAAAATTTGTTTCTAAAAAAAAATTAAATAAATTTCTGAACTCTTTAAAAAGTTTGACTTAACTTCCTTTTCATCTTTAGACACACATTGTCATTGTCCCTCAATTTATTGAAAATAAAAATAATAATTACAGAATCTTAAATCTTTAAAAAATCAGAAATTTATTTAAGTTTAAAAAAGTGGCGTGACAACTAGATACAATTTTTGAAGAACTACGAAAATCAATTGTACCAATATAAAGTACAAAAAAGATTGGAAATTGGTTGAGTTGAACGTGATTCGATATTTATACAGTTGTGTATATATACATAATGTAGGAAAAAATAAGGTATAAATATTAAGGTGCAACATAAATTAAAGGGGTAGTTCAACAATAGCTGTTAATTACTTACCAGCCAATTAAGGGTATACTACTATCCGTACGTACGTATTAATGTGTACACTACACAATACAGTATATAGAAATACATAATATATATATATATATATATATTTATTTATATTGATGGACATAGTTAACAGTACAACAAGAAACATGCATGCAGTTGGGAAGACGACAGAACCAAA